ATTACGAACAAGTCATCCAGTCGCCTGACTGTGATGGCAATCTCGGGGGCGATGTGTTGCGCCAGCTTGGCTGGATGTTACACACGGTAGAGGAATTTGGTGAACGGAACACAAGGAAGAATTTTGTCGCACAGCTTAAGCGAAACAACAGACACGGTGCAAAGACACTGAGTGAGCATAAATGGTATGCCATAATAAAATAACCTAAACCAGTTGCTGTTTAGGTTAGGCCTTCGATCCGCTATGTCCTGTTGTTGCTCCATTTTCTTGGTTGCTTTGTCCATCTGCAACAACCCCTCCATCAGTCTTGTCTACGTTGAGAAGAGAATCCGACGATGACGGTAAATCTGGTAAATGATGACCTGGCCCGTGAAACGTTCCTCGGTTAAAAGTTCCATTGTCACCAAGTTCCATTGTCTGACCAAGTGAAACTGAAAACCGAAAAGCGTTTGCTCCGCCTCCTCGCCGTGGTGCCGTCTAGCCAGATTCTAATACCGGATCGATTCGGCATTTCTAGAAACAAACAGCCAATCACTTCGTCTTACGGGAACGTTGAAATTTCAACGTTTTCGTAAGACGTTCCCGCTCATGCAACTCTTCTTGCGTTGGCTCTAAACTCCAAAGCACAAGCGGCAGACAATAGAAAGCCTCCACCAACGGTTGAACTGCGTGACCTTGCAGGTTGATACCTGTCCAATCGATACTGGTCCAATACGCCCAGATATGGGAAACGGTCCAATAGGACTTGAATTAGGACTAAATGAGGGGAATCGCTGTAAAGTGCTCACCAGGCACGGCTGCTGTGAGATAAAACAATCAAATTATGAGCAGTTTTAGATACTCCATCCATGGACTATCAATTACCGTAACATTAATTTATTCAGGCTTCGGTAGAATCGCATTCGCTGAAAAAATCATTCAACTGTGAAGCAGCGTTTCTAAAGCAAAACGCAGCAACGTTTTGGTCCTCACGCGTTTCCAGGGCTGTTAGAAACAAGTTCTAATAATTCAGAAGATTTTGTACAGCAGACTTCAGAATATGCTGTAATAAATTGTTCTACAATGTGTTGCCTGAAAGAGCAGAGCCCACCGTACTTTGATTTTTTGCTTGCTTTGAAATCCTGACATCAAATACGCTAACATTCACCACAAATTCAAGAGGGGAACTTCTGCTCGGAAATCGAGCGTTTTTTGTATCATTTAAATGTGTGTACAATATAACTAACGCATGCGGTATATAATATATGTTTGCAACTTTACACCATTAATTACATCAGTATTTAGTGCTATGTTTAATCTGTACGTGCGACCCGTAGTACTTTCCGACTAGCTTTCCGGACACCGGAAAAAAAGTTGATACAACTGGAATTTTTACTTCATATTTTTGCATGATAGGATTAATGAAACTAGGAAAAATACGTGTTACTTAACATGAACCCGCGAATGTCGAGATCGAACATAAGTCATGAAATTACTTACCAGGGCAGTATTTCCGCCTCCAAATTCAAAAAAATCTCATTTTTTGTAAAAAGGTAGTAGACTACCGTGGTATATTTAAAACAATAATTTCATCTGCAAAGGTCACTTGGGCGTTGTCTAACATAAATTGAATGAGTACCGAGTACACATACTATAGTATGTATCTGTAGTATTAAGAACTCGGGCTAGTTTTTGCGGACACTGCACGTCCCCTGGATCTTTCCACATGCCAAGCGTCGACGTACGTACTGTACTACAGCGCGTGTGTGGTGACCATCGCAGCAAAATTATTAAATTTCAGAAATTCAATAACTTCGCTAATTTTCAAGCTGTTTGTAATGTATGCCTATATGCTCACGAACTTTAGAAAGCATTTAGGTAGGAAATTATCAAAATGTGTGATGTAGCAACTGCCGGAAAAGATGGTAATACCGGAAGCGTTTTTGAAGTTATGTCGTTGCTTGAAACCTGGAAGGGTCCACGTCTGGTCCAATGGCCGCAGAATTAATATAATATCATTATGGCAAATGACAGTACTGCATCATAATAATATGCAGTACTATGCACTCATTTAATTTATATTAGACCACGCCCAATCGACCTTTGCAGATGAAAATAATTTTATAAATATACCACGGGAGTCTACTACCTTTTTACAAAAAATGAGATTTTTTTGAATTTGGAGGCGGAAATACTGCCCTGGTTAGATTTATGGTAGCAAAAATGTCTATCATCACACTCCATTTCTGGTTGAATTCCCAAAAACATTTCTCTTTTGGCTGGTTTCGGCAACTTTCAAAAACGGCAGTGTGCTGCACCGCAAACACTTTCCATCATGCTGTAATGCACTTGCTGCTGTGCATTTACCATAGCCGTACAATTTCCACCACAGTAAGCACTAAACATCACCCAAGGGCACAGTTTGATTTATCCCCGACCCCGTTCACAAGTTCCTACTGCGCCACGTTGAACTGCTGGTAAGGCTCGTCAAGCCGGAGATAGTGTGGGCAGAGTCGCAACCAACTACAATGTAGGACGAAATGGTCGCATAGCCCCATACCCAGCATTCTGTACGCAAGCGGTGCAGTGCACTTGTACGAAACGGATATTTTGAACTCAGCCGTACAGTGCACTGCGCTGCATACGTACTGAATGTGGAGATGGTGGGTATGCGACCATTTCGTCCTAAGCTGTAGATCCGTCAGCGCCTGCTGGAGATGGCTGAAAACCGGCCGGTCTGCGGGCGACAGGTGCCAGCATTGCACCATCGCATCGTACCTATCACAAATACAGTATGACGTTACGACTGGGCGGTTTGACTACACAGTTGCGAATTTCAACATACAAGGCGGTTGGGCAATCTCCCGGTCTTTCCAAGCGGATACCGGCCATCAGTGCGGTGAGGAGCTCGGTTGCACTGCCGACATTTAGTGTCACTTGTGTAAGGCGTCTCGCCCAAAATGAAAATTCCCCGGGTCAGGACGCCAAATGACCACACATCCGACTTCTGTAAGAACGTCCTTTGCTCGATAGACTCTGGAGCCATCCAGCGCACCGGCAACGAACTCTGAAATTGCTTTTGGTCTTTGATTTTGTTAAGTTCTCTCTTATTTGTTTTCTTTCTTCTTTCATTTTATACGGTTTATTATTGCTTTTTAGGTTGTGGTGAACCCCCGCGAAAGGTCCTTACGGGATCGTCAGGGAGTACGTATTCTGCCGCGTGACGAACCATGCCGAAGTCGGAGACCTTGACCACTCGGTCATGGCAGACCAGGATGTTACGCGCGGCCAGATCACGATGGTTGACAGAGCGGCTGTTAAGGTAGGCCATGCCGCGGCTGATCTGAATCACGAAACCCATCAAGTTCTGTGCCGATAAAGCTCGTCCATCCACGGTCTCGTCTTGCATGACCATCCGATTCTCGATGTTCGCCAACATCTGCTGGCGGCCTGCTTCTGCTTCGTCGTTACGCAGTACCGGGACGACGTCCGGAAAGTTGTGGGCAACGGTTTTCCGGTACCTCCGAAGAAATTTCAAAAGTGACCCGTTTTCCGCATATTCTAATAGCAGTATTTCGCCTGCAAATGCAAAATATGTAAAGAGCAACAGTGTCGTGATAATGGACACCAAAAGCACGCCCAATCCGTTGTGCCGTAAATGACTGTATTATTGCCCTAAAATGGGTCGGAAACGTCCATTGTGCCGTGTGTTACACGGTAAGACAATGGTGTGCGACTCTGGCCCATCCTAGTACCAGGCCTTACAGCACAACCTCTTAGATTATTAGAAATACATGTCCGCCACCCGTGTCTGCTTATGCGTTTTGATTGAGAAACTAAAGTACACTGCGTGCGACGCCATGTATTAGAAATTTGTACCTTTGATGGCAGCACCGAGGAGGTTGATTATATTGAGATGCCGGCCGGCTTGCGTCAGAATCCTAATTTCTTTGATGATCTGTCGGTGCTGCTCTGGATCAGCTGCATTCCGTGCCGTCTTAATAGCCACGCGGGGGGGGGGGGGCTGTTGTTGATCACGCAGTCCTGTGGCCACGCCTCTCCGGACAACGCCGTGCTTGCCCTTTCCAACAATAGCCCCTACCAGCAGACTCATCACAATGTCACGAGCGATTTAATATGAACACATATTTAATAGAAGTATAAGTGATTTAAATGACTGTACCCATGGCATTCGCCAGCCAGAGTAGCCACTGTGCCACCACGCTCATCCGTCTTTTCCCAAAAACTTCATCACAACAACTTCGCACTCTCACAATAGTACCAACCTCTCTCTAATTTATTAAATGACAATATTACAGCATAAGATTTTTACAGATCTGCATGCCAGTTGTCGCGATCTCACGCACTATATACCTGAGGAAAACCACAAGCTTATACTAGTGCCCCGAGTACTCCTCGTGCCATAGCTTGCTTAGATGCTTCTGTATAATATGCCGATGCTCTTGTTCTATGTGTCATCCTCTCATTTTTTCGAGCTGCTAAGTGCTTTTGATCATTAGCGCTGCTAATGATCATCACTTGTGCAATCTAGGTTGTTTGTTTGTTGCCTTCCTATATAATGCTAGCGCATTATATGCCAGAGCAGAGAGTAGCCAATAAAAGCCCAGCTTCAGTTGTGTCGTCCCGCCACGTCAGGGCACGTCATACAGCCCGTGCCCTTGACACTAGTACAGCTGGGGTTGGTACATCACACCGCCTAATAGTAAGAAATAACATTCCTCGATTCCATAAATTCGGCTTACCAATTTGTACGTTAGCCAGAGGAATCTCCAGCAGGTGGACTGTGGACATACTGCTGAATGGCCGGGATGATCTTCTCGCAGCTTGCATTAACGGGCTGCGCCGGGTGACAGTTATTTATCGGCAAGGTATCGGACCTCTCGGTGCACTTGCGCATGTTGCCGCGTCTCAAATGCCGACGCTGCTTCCAGAACATAAAGCAATAAAAATTCCGGTAGCGGCGACGGCCAGCATTGCTCCTAGGGCTCCCAGGCTGGCGGCTAGTATCGGTAGCTCCGGTGTGGTTTCCTGACCATGGTGAGTGACTGGCGTACTGGGAACTGGTGATATCATAGGGCTGTCGCACTGGCGCACCACCACGTAGTCAATGAGGAACTCGATGGGGAAGCGGTCACCATTGTTGGGACTATCGGAGAAAAACCCTCCAACGGCAACATTCAATACCCCCTGCAGCGCCACCGTCGGGACGTAAGGGCGGCATATCACAGAGTGGAGCACCACCCCGTCCGCGGACCACTGCAGCCCATCCGGAAACCATCCAATCTTATACACGTGAAACTCGCGCGAGACATCTGGTTCCCTAGCCACCATCTTCACACTCATCGCACTGATATTGTGTGATGTCTCCTGATCGCGGTCTACCTGGGGATGGAAGGCCGGCGGATCGTCTAACTTGCAGGTTATCCCGGTGCCGCACTGAGGATTCTGTAGCCACAGCTGTGGCTGGATGCCGCGACCGACGGGAGCGAGTGCCCGCCACTCAATCTCACCGTACGTAAAACTGAACTTATCGCGGGTATCCACTAGCCCTGAAGTGTAACTGCAGCCCTGTACATCTCCCGCCGACTGATGAGACGCAACGTTCATTGGACACCTGGGCGTTGTTCTACCGGTATCACTGCAGCTCCCCATTTACAGTTGACTTCGTGTTGGCGCGGTTCCAGCGCGACAGATCCAGTGCGACCCCGTCGAAGTCATCTCGGAAGATTATGCGTACTTCTTTCGCTCGTGTGCGATTCAGCACGCCAAACCAGCAGAGCAAAACTAGAAATTTGCGAACTAGCATGGTACGGCCGCCCGTTGAATTGCATCCACAGCACAAGCGGACGCGGCATTGGCATGAAGCCACGAATGAATCACTCCGTATGGATGCTGATTACCCAGCCAAATCGCTTGATACCACCGTCCAGACTAAGTCCAGTAGATCGCGCAGTTTGAAATTACTCCAAACAAAGTATTAAACTGAAGGAAAACCTAGCACAGAGACACAATACGTACATGTGTGCTTACGTATTGTGTCTCTGTGCTTTGTGTAAAGTGCATGTCCCCGGCAAATTGCGCCTCTTTTTTTTGTTGCACGTCATTCACTCATACTGTGCAATTATTGGCTTTTTGGTCAAGCGTGAAATTTATCTTTTTTCGCATATCACAGTACTTTGCACCTAACGCCGTCGAAATTGTTTCATGTACAGGAAACGCTTGCGGTGTAAACTGACTGCGCCACCAACTGAATTCCAGATTACGTATCGACACAATCATTGCCCTTGATGACTATGTGAACAACAAATGAAATGTACCGAACTGCGCAGTGCCAGTCACTATCAACAGCAGTAGATAAACAGAATAAACTTTCGACATGTGCGAAGTAGGGTATGTCACTGTATGTGTGAACGACATTAATATCGTCAGTTGTTTTTTCTCACAGCCGCTACTTAAGAAGTGGTATGAAAGGAGGGAAGTCGTATGCTGATGTTGATGGATCATGAAATACTTACGTACATGCACAGAATCGAACAATAACAATACATGAAAAGTTGAGATGGTTTTAACAGCATCGTGTAATACTCACTGTACTAAAGTGCATTCGATTTTGCGGCAGTGCACTACGCTAAATGTACAATGGCCTTAAGGTTAAGTCAAGTTTACATTGACACCTAGCAATACACTAGCCTCGCGCATCCCTGGTCGGCACTTATGTACTGGATAGTATTGGCTTTATTTTACTCGTGCTTGCTTTTTAGTGTTGATGATAATTAAGTATTGTGTCAATATTAATAGTACGTAAATGTTCTAATTTGGTAAACATCCATAAAGGGTAAAGTCCAGCGCACCTTATGTCCAATTGCAAATACAGTATCTGCATTCGTGAAAACGTAAAAATATCAGAAAATCAGAACGTAAAACATTAAAAACGTTAGAACGTCAGAACATCAGAAGGTCAAAACATGAAAAATTCAAAAGGTCAAAACGTCAGAAACTCAGAACGTCAGAACATCGAACGTCAGAATATTACAACGTCAGAAAAAATGGAACGTCAGAAATTTAGAACGTCAGAACATCAGAACGTTAAAACGTGAAAAATTTACAACGTCAGAAATTCAGAAAGTAAGAACATGAGAACGTCAGAATGTCAGAACGTAAAAAATAGAACGTTATTTAGAACGTCAGAACGTCAGAACATCAGAATATCAAAACGTCAGAAATTCAGAACGCCAGAACGTGAAACATTTTAAACGTTAGAACGTCAGAGCATGAGAATGTGATAAATTAAAAACGTCAGAAATGTCAAAAATTTAGAACGTTAGAACATCATTACGTCTTATAAAATACAACTACGAAAGCCTATATACGATAATAATTACGATTACAATCATAGACTCACAGTCTTAAAAGCCTTTTTTTCCATAATTCTGGCTTTTTTATATTTTTTAATGACCTTTACAAAATAAGAGTATTTATGCATCCGCTATAGTCTCCGTGGTTACAGTCATTATGTTAAGTCCTTTTTATTGTTGTGCAGATGTGCAGTGAATATAGTGAGAAGTAGAACTTACTTCTTTGAGTGCTCTTTACGTTTCCATACTTAAGACCTGGTGAAACCATCTTCTGACCACTAGTTAATAAAAAAAAACAAAAAGCTATTGGCAAACCTATGGAAAATATGGAATTTTTTAAGACCAAGCTGAACTAAAACTGACCACGCCTTGACGAGTCTATAAAAACGGCGAATAAGTACGTTTTGGTCGGTAAGATTGCATGAATACAAGGTATGCCTCGCGCTCCGCGCTCGGCAAAACCCTCTTGGACGGAAACTAATATTTCACCTCCCCACAATTTTTTCTTGAACCTGCGATCACAGGCTTTTTTTTCACTTTTTTCATTGAATAGTCCGTGCGATTCCGATTTCTCTACCATTATTGCACTAATTGCTGCCTCCGTGGCAACAACTTATTTTACTCGTAAGAATGTACTACAGCACCACACTAACCACTGTACCAGTATCTAAAGAACGCCATGATAATATTAAGTACTCCATTTTCTGTACTTAAGAACCTGTCAAAATTTCTCCTGACCAACGCTTTCAAATCAAAATCAAAATTCAGAAGGCACACCTATGGAAAATTAGGAATTTTTCAAAACTAAGCTTGACTTAAACTGACCACGCGTTGATTTATTCATAAAAACCCAGGAAAAATACGTTTTGAACGGTAAGATTGTATGAATATAGAGATAAAGATATGAAAAAAGAATAGATAAAAGAATAGATATAAAGATAAACATAATCAAACAATAATAAGCTTCTGGAGCTACTCGCGTTTTTTGCCAGACTGTACCGGCATCGGCAGATAAGAGTCACTGACTGTTGTAACTCATGTGTGGTCCACAACTGCCACTGCCATGCCACTGCCGGTAAGGTCGGCTCAGTCATTAATTAAAGACAAATGGTGCGGTCTTCCGAAAGCGAAAGTGAAATCAATTTATTTTAGTATAAGTTCATAATTTTAGTAAATTCTCATTCTACATCCAGCAGCAGTAACATACTCACAAAAAGGCCATGCAGAATACGGTATTTCGATGCGATTTTATTATATCACACGGTCAGACACGCTCGATAACCAACTGCAGCAACACACTTATAAGTATCATCCCAACGCCAGCACCGATCATCCGGCGTACTCCGTTGTCGGCATCCGGCGGTCGTGGCCAGTTGGCCCCGATCAGGCGATCGATACTCTCCGCCACCTCCGGGACGATCTTTCCACCATCATCCGAGTTGGTCATAATGACGTACCCGTTCCCAGCCACCGCGGACGCCATAAAGTGGCACCGGAAGCCCTCGTTTGCCCCTCCATGCTCGAACATGTCTGTGGTATTGCCGATGGTCCCGGGTCCCAGTCCGTAGCTCCCAAGTCCCGGTGTCAACATTTCTCTTGTCATCGCCGCGGAAATAACTTTGTTCGAAGTTCCATGAAGCGAATTCTGCACCTCGATGATGTACCGTGCATAGTCTGACGGGGTCGTCCACATCCCGGCAGCCGCCATCTCTGGGTAGGTGTGCCACTTCCCGACTACTTCCACTTTGTTTTCGCGGTACCCGGTAGCGGCTTCGGGTTCCCGGGCTGCCGGGAGCGGCTGCTCGTAGGTACTGAGTGTCATCCCCAGTTTCCCGAAGACCTCCTCGTTCATAATCTGCGGGAACGGTTTTCCAACCCGGTCGACCATGGCTTTCTGCATTACCGTGTATCCACCACCAGAGTACTGCCATTTCGTCCCGGGAACCGCGAAGGACTCCACTTTCGGAGAGTTCGCTGGCGGGTTCGTGCCTTGAAGAACCTGGACAACCGTCGGCACGGTATTACCGCGGGGATACCCATAGAACCCGTGGACGGTCAGTCCCGCGGTGTGCGACGTTAATCGGCGTAGGGTAACCTTCTCCGTCGTCGTGTAGCTGCTATTCGGAACCAACCAATCGGCGTTCAGATACCCGTTGATGTCGTTGTCTAGCGACAGTTGCCCGGTCTCCACGAAATGCAGTGCTGCGAACGCCGCCATGGGTTTGCTCATGGAAGCCGCTTGGAACAGTGTTTCGGTGGTAACCGGTCGTGAGGTGGCAGTGTCCGCGAGACCGTAGGCTTGAGCCCATGCGACGGTGCGGTTGACGATGACGGCCAGGCTTAATCCGGGGATGTTGTAATGTTGCAGACGCTGATCAACGGTGTAGTTTTGGCCGGAGCTGTCCTGGATGACCAGGGTGGGGGGAGTCGTAGTGCTCCTTACCGAGACGAGGAAGCAGGTCACAATAAGGAATAATAAACGTCCGACTGCCATTTTGAAAGCAATAACCGTTAAATCGCTTTTCGAGGCGGACGTAGTTTTGTTAAAGCTACACTAACTTCCCTAAGTTTATAACAACTTCCGTGGCGCTGTTATCGCTCTTATCAGCAGTGCAACTTCGGTAACAGTAAATATGCGATATGAAGAGACAATCGTAATGAATTCCGATTAAGACAGTTTTCATAACACTGACTGTTATGTTATCAGTATATGTACTGCACCGGCGACTTGGAAACTTAGAGGAACGTGCTATGCAGCGTGAAAAGCGTTGTTTATCTAAAAACCTGTCTGAAACATACTTATGATGATATGCCGCACTGCGGCAAGGAAATCGTTTTTACAGAGTTGTAAACGGAAGCGTGAAATACAAGAAATAAGTTGCTGTGTTTGCATAATTGCAATCTGCTTTTGCATGTTGCGTGCGCGGCGTGAGGGATCGCACGTTCAGTCAAAAATTTACTGGAGCTCACGTTTAGTGTTTTTACATGCATATTTGCATGTAGAGCTCAACTGGCCAACTGTACAGCCGAACTGTTCATAGGATTATTACCGCCATAATTACCATGCTTAAAGGCGCTCTCAAAGTTAAGGTTTGGAACTGTCATGAAAAAAATTGATTTTAGGAAAAGACATGTACAGGTTACTCACTCAAAGCTATGTATCGGCACAGTTAAAATATTATAAGAAAACTGTGTGTCTCTAATCTCTGTAGTGTCTCTTGTGTCAATTACATTCCTTCTGTATTACAGTACAGCACTGCACGCATATGACAGGAGAATACCGGTATTGTGCATACTCGCACGCTTTTACATAGAAGTACAGTCCGATCGGAAATCGTTAGCGCAGTGTTTAATTTAAAATCAGTGCGTAGCGGTAGTATAGAACGCACAGCGCGCACATATAAACCAAACTCGCTACAGTAAATTTGAACTAAACATTTTTGGTCGGACGGTATAATACTGTACGCGTACACCACAGATAAACTGCAGCGCTGAATGTGATTCTGTACCACAAGCAGCTGCACACCTCAACGACATGACGATGATTATCGATTTGTTCTCATGCGCCTTACATGTTTAACCAGAAATTGTGGGAATATGATTTACACCTAACAGGCAACTCATAAAGTAACTGGTTCAGTCAGTCCATGTTGAAACTTCACATTTCCGCGATTCGCACTGAAAAGTCTACGCCGTGCTGGTGTTCCCATTAAGTACATTTATCGCTTCATAATCAAGTTGTACTGTTGCATCTGCCGCCACGTTTTACTTTAAGCATGAATATAAATAGTGATCTGAACTGTGAATGGCGTTTGCAGTTTCGTTGTAGTAGAATTATTGCCGTTAATGATATTATACCAACGAAGTTCAATCTGACCATTTACCATTTTCCATTATTATTTTTGCCATTCGGAGACGCGCCTTCACTGCGCCTGCACGTCCACGCGAACAATACGCCGATGGTTTCGTTCTCAGCGGGGAGATAAATACGCATCACCAGCGCATGCAGCTTTGGATCTAAGCTACTGCAAAAATGCTGCGATATGCACACTCGTTATCACGAAACAAGAAAGTTGTTCAGCAGCAAAAAATTAACTGTCTTGCTTCGCGATAGAACGTGTGTGTACGGTGTACCGAAAGTCTTGGTTGGAATGCTAGACAGCGCCGATGAAGGAAATGTTGAGGGAGACTCAAAAACATCTGAGGGCGGTTATCTGTCGATGTTTGCATTTTATCGTACCGTGCTTCTGGCGATTTTTTGGCCAACCGCACTGGATTTAGCATTTTAAAATAATGCAATACTGTATTAGAGACGACCGAACCAATCATGCTCAGAAATCCCTTTTTGTCCGGTCACCATCGCAGCCGTACAAAACAGGGACAGAAATTATTTGTCCTTATTACAAAATGTACAAAGTCAAAAAGAAATTTTGTTGACGGTGTTAATCAGTGGGTCTTTCTATCGTTTCTTATCTCGCAGCTCATCTAGCGTTCGTATCGCAATTTTTTTCATTTTCACGCAACACCGGACTTGCTCGTAGTGTTAGTTATGACGATATTTCGAATAAGAGAATTGCAAGTGGAGGTTCTGGAAATCCAGTGGAAATTAGTAAGGCGCGCGCACCGGTGGCAGCCGGCGCTCGTCCCTAGCCGAGAACTTCTCCATGCTCACACGACTCTCCGCTTAAGTATGGGTGCGAATATATAGGGGACATTGGTCGCACTGAGGCGCTGGAGCGCATTTATGCAGTATAGAGTTCATATGTTTTAAATCACTGTCGAGGCTTTTTTGAATTTTTCTTCTGTTCGTCATAGCATCGTTTGCGTACTGATGCTGTGCCGACCAGCAAAAAAATTTCGAAAAGCAGCAGCGCAGTTAATAAGCCTAGGCGCAACCCGGGCGATTGTTCATACTGCATTTTCAACTGTGTAGCCAGAATCGGGAACGTGTGATCGAAGTTAAAGGGGAGCCGGAATATAAATTGCTTGAAGTATTATATAGAGGGGAAGACGACGGAGCGGTTGCTGATGACGGCCAAGATTAGTTGTTATTGTAAATCTCGAAAGTTGTACACTGGGCTCAACCCGTTGACGAGGATCCGTGTTGGGGCGCAAAACATAATATACATGATATTTCCTCAGCGACCGGTGATCAATCGATATCCCATGCCATAAAAGCAATACTCGTGCAATATAGGTGTATATACAAACTGTAAAGCATTAAGAAAACGCTACGCACTGCGGAAATATCCACTTACATATCTTACCAGTATTACAGTGCTTCAATGTATAGTAATTTTTAGTCTAAAAAGGGGTGTATGGAAATGACTCGGGATGTTTATTTCCGTTGGCTTAATTCTGGTAGTAAGAATAATAATTTATAACGTATGTAGAACGACATCGATCCTAATACACCGTACATTCTGTACTGTACGAGCGCACTGTACGATACAACTTGCGCATACCAGTATTATGCGTACCGCCGTACGGTATTCGCACTCTTTTGCTAATAAGTACGTACATAGCTGGCAAGCCTGGCAAACAAACTTAGTAACAGTACTGCATGGTTTGCTTCGGAACAACAGATGCAGTACCTGCATACCTCAACGACATAAAGATGAATGCTATCGATTCGTTCTAACAAGACAATTAGTTATAATATTATAATATTATTTGTTATTACTTCACCATCGAGTTGCACCGTGTTGTATCTGCATAAAAGACGATTTACAGTATACTTGATTACAGTAAATGGGGTTCAAGCACATAAATGGTCGTGCAATGCCGGTGATACGTTCAGATACGTTAAATTTGATCATTTGCCCAAGATTCGTTCGAGCGTGTACTGATTGTTTCTAACTGGGCGCGGGGGACGAAATGCATGCGTCCGCACTTTGCACTTAGAGAACGCGGGCTGGTCGCATTCTCAGCGAGGGAGTGCGAATAACCAACGGGTGCAGCTTTGGACCTCTGTTACCGCAAAATAATGCGAAATGCACACTCCTCATGATTCAACAGGAAGAAGTCATGCAGCCTAAATAAATATCGTGAATTTTGCCCGTGCAGCGTGGGTATATAAAATGTGCAAATTTTCGTGCACCACACTCTGTGGTCTAACTTGCAAACACTGCTACAGTAGTGCAATTCCAACTATGTATTTACTACTTCTCGCGGAGACAAGCGTACTGCAACGTTTGCTAGGATTGGAATATTTAAGGATGATGCGGAAAAAATCTTACGACCTGAAAATTGGCCCTCGTATGTTTTCGTTAGAGAATGTGTCTATTGACTCATTTAATGACTAAGTGTTATCTCTTTTATTTTCATATTGTGATATCTCAACGAATTGTTAAAAGTGGCTGCCATTATCATGGCAGCTGATCTTCTACGTTTGTCTACAACCTCGTGCAGATTCCTCCTGATTGTTGTAGACGTTAAGCTGATTAAACAAACAAACAAACAAACTTGGACGGTTAAGTTAGTGCATTCGCCTGAAGTACTGCCACAAACGGGCCTGCGATATATTAGGATTATTTATTCAACGCACAGTATTGCCCTTGCGGTAGTGGCGACCTTTAATGACGAAGCTCAACTACTAGAAAAAGGGTTACATATGTTGCTATATTTACACATTTTGCTATTCAATGAAAGTTATATTTTGCTCTAACAAGTAAATCCGTACTAACCAAAGTAAGATCATCATGTAGAACACGGTGTCATTCATTGACAACCACACCAGCGCAGTGATTTCTTCGTGACCATTCCTTATGCATGTTATAACTACTGTATGCACTCGAATTCGTCAACCTTATCCAACCAATTTGGCGCCGCGTTTGTAGGCTAACTAAGCGTGGAGGAAATGTCTACAAGTGAGAAAAGTACTCCAGTACGGTGACGAGGAAGTACAGTGCAATACCGGACAATTTCTCCAGCTCTTCATGTTTCAACCCGTCGATGCACCATTTCTTGCGGCGATAAAGGGGTGACAGCCGGGGATCACCTGCCTGTATTGCGCACAGCACCTGCAAACAGAATTCTTTTTACAACCCCCAAACAAAATAATAAAATACAACAACTGTTGACGCCACCGGCTTCAGCAGCCGTGGAAAAGGCGTCAGTTGCATCCTGCTGTTAAAAGATTTGTCGGTAAGAGTCGTTGAAAATAGTCGCAAAGAACATACTATTTAACTCAGACCGCCCAAAGTTGAATAATTTTATTGTTACTAAAATTCATTTCAAGCTGTAAATTGATTCATTAGATTAACAAACTGGCACCGTATGCCAGAAGAAACGCTCAAGTCAAGCAGCCTTGTTCTTGGCGATAAACGATGACAGCTATCGCAACCACTCTGCTGAAGTAACAGGCATTTCGGCATGATTAAATTTTTATTTTCAGCTGACTATATTTCGACAAGCACTGCATACTTGGCCTGCCCCTGGGTCTTTAGAAATTGTGACCGTGTCACTAAACCCCAACCGAATGGCCACGCTGCGCAACAGTCCGTCCTTCGACACGGGCAACCCGCCCTCCACCACATTCCACATTGTGCACTCCAGATTGTCGTCAATCGCCAGCCGAGCCATGGGAATACTGCTGATCAGCGTCGTATGGTAGCCACCCACCACAGTGAAACGCAGTTCGATACTGCAGTCGGCCACACGGAGGGTCTCGCACGGAAGACGTCGCAACAAGGCGGTCAGGTCAGCCACGCGAAGCAGCGAGTCGCGCCGTGCTGAGTTCTGAGGCTGGTGCGCCATACACTCCGCTACCTCGCCACTGTTTGGCTCGTCGCAATAACCTGTCAACAGCCGCCATCGGAAACCAACCAGAAGGATCGCCTTCAGCCGCACTCCACCGTGCTGCTGCGCCATGAAGCAGATCAGTTCCAGTACTTTCAAATAGTTCTCGCCATCTAGGAGTCGCTGCCGACCGGCCACCAGGACGTGGCGCGTGGAGACACGCAGGCATTTAAAGACCACTGACAACATGGCGTAATCCATCTGAGCCTGCTCATGACCGAGCCAGCCAGCATTAATCAGTAGAGTATCTGCCAGTTCCGACGATTCGATCCAATCATTCCACAGTGCACAGACCAACCGCAGCTTGTTCTGCGTCCATGTGCCCAGATGGGACAAGACCTCCGACCACAACTCCAACGGCAATCGACTGGCTTCGGCCTCTGATTTGGATGGGGCAGATGCTGCGGATGAACGCCAACTCATGCGCGACAGACGCTTAAACAGCGTAGTGTTGATACGCGCCTGCAAAGAAACAACAGCTCGTGAACTGACAGCATCTGAGGATTATATTAAGACAAACGTTAATTTCGCTAAATTTCACGGAGTATATAGAGCAATCTGCCTTGCAGTCCACTGCAAGAGAAAGGAACGGGACCACAAGGCAAAAGTTGACTCTTTTATTGTAGTCAACTGGCAGACATTGCTGCTGGCATTTCGGTACGTATTCAAATTTTGCGCACATGATATTATACAAGTACTCCGAAATCGTAGAAATGAGCTACGGCTTAATCGCAAATTTCATGATATGCATGTGATGCGTCAGCCAATTTAGGTCAAAGCTATGCGCAGGAGTTTTGTAATTGTAGGAAACTTTAGTACATCAAAATTTTGTATTTAAAAGTTGTACGAACCCGAATTGCACGTACGACGATCGTACATTATAATAATTATTATTATACTAAGTACGACATACAAAACTAGCTGTAAGTACTTTCGCCCCTCATGTTAAAGTCCTTCGCACTATGCCGGGATTGTGCGAAGTACTGCACAATCCTGTGCGTATCCGTGAATCGGTGAAAATTCAGTTCTTTATGCAAAGTACTGCCACTACTTTGTACTTCCCGCATGCCGTGAATCCGTGAATCGGTGAAAAGTCAGTACTTTACATAGAGTCAGTACTTTATGCAAAGTAGTGCCAGTACTTTATACCTCCCGCAAGCCGTGAATCCGTGAATCGGTGAAAAGTCAGTACTTTACATAAAGCCAGTACTTTATGTAAAGTACCGCTAATACTTTATACCTCCCGCATGCCGTGAATCCGTGAATCGGTGAAAAGTCAGTACTTTACATAAAGCCAGTACTTTATGTAAAGTACCGCTAATACTTTATACCTCCCGCATGCCGTGAATCCGTGAATCGGTGAAAAGTCAGTACTTTACATAAAGCCAGTACTTTATGTAAAGTACCGCTAATACTTTATACCTCCCGCATGCCGTGAATCCGTGAATCGGTGAAAAGTCAGTACTTTACATAAAGCCAGTACTTTATGCGAAGTACTGCCACTACTTCGTACTTCCCGCATGCCGTGAATCCGTGAATCGGTGAAAAGTCAGTACTTTACATAAAGCCAGGACTTTATGTAAAGTACTGCTAATACTTTATACCTCCCGCATGCCGTGAATCCGTGAATCGGTGAAAAGTCAGTACTTTACATAAAGCCAGTACTTTATGCAAAGTAGTGCCAGTACTTTGTACTTCCCGCATGCCGTGAATCCGTGAATCGGTGAAAAGTCAGTACTTTACATAGAGTCAGTACTTTATGTAAAGTACTGCTAATACTTTATACCTCCCGCATGCCGTGAATCCGTGAATCGGTGAAAAGTCAGTACTTTACATAAAGCCAGTACTTTATGTAAAGTACTGCTAATACTTTATACCTCCCGCATGCCGGGAATCCATGAAGCGGTGAAAAGGCAGTACTTTACATAAAGTTAGTACTTTGTGTAAGTACTGACAATACTTTATACTTCCAAACTTCCAAACGCGAGGACATCCAGACGCGAGGCCATTGGCCGTTCGGACCTTTCTTCGCGCGGACATTTCGTTTTCGGAATTTTGGTTTCGGGACAATCAGGCGCAAAACTCTCACAACGGTAATATCGCTGTCAGTATGCTTAATACAAACGCAAATACAACAGTCATGACGATAACAGTTACAAAAACCAAACCGCCGTTTCTGTTCGCTTTTATTTACTCATTTAACTCAATATTTTCGGTTTTGTCAAAAAATTACCAATCTCACTGCTAAAATGATCCAGTTGTCTGAAAAGCTTAAATGCCAGAAACTTAATTAATTTCTACTGAGACGGATGACCTGTCAGGTTTTTGAATACTATACAGTTTACATGGGTTACTGCTAGCCCGGCAAGAATAGGATGCATACATTCTATCCGCAAGCGAACACAACCCGGACGCAATTTTACAAAGCGCAATCTGGCTACCAGTTAACGCAGCCGTGTATTAATTTGTAGTGCGCTACGTCACTTCACATTGGTTATTAAACGTTGAAGGAAACGTTGAAGGAAGGTAAGTAGAACAGTATAATATTGCTAATGCCTTGTAATATTTTGCTTTATATTATTTCGTTAATAATTGCAAATGTAAGCCAGAACTCGCAATTGTTGTATGCTAATCGCCTACGAATTACGATTATTGTGAGGATTTCTGGAAAATACGTTACAGATCTTTGCAAAAATTTATTATGTCTGACTGATTTATGATAATTTCAGCTTTTGTAGCCTGTAAATTTGTGTGGATTTGCGTATTTCCTGTACTCGTATAAACCGCGACGAAATGTACCCCGGCTAGTTGTCATACAACGAAAGTCCCCAAAGCAACTTGTCCGTGCGTCGGCCATATTTCCCAAAACGAAATGTCCTTGTCGACGTATTGTCCGTTAAACCAAAAGTCCCGAAACGTGATGTCTCACGTCGATTTGTCCGTAAAACGAAATATCCACGGCGCATTGTCCCACGGCCAAATGTCCGCGGCGAAATGTCGCGGTGCCACAGCAATAAATTACGTGTTGGTACTGTAGTAAGTGATGCATGGCCTGACGTGCGCTGGTCGACAGACTCGACACGATAAATTTACTGTGACCAAGCTACTGCCGTCTACTGTCCTGCGAGCGCAGCTTATTTCCTGCCACCTGCCTGCCGGGGACCTGCCACCTGCCTGCCACTGGCCTGCTTGCCTGCCGTGTCCAGGTCGTTGTTCAATAAAATTATAGACTTCTTTAATAGAGACTGAGGAATTTTTTAACTTGCCAACGTGGCCCGACAGGGCTGTAGCACAGCATTAGGGCAATGACGTCACACGCAATATTAAGTACTCGTATTAATCATGAAATTTGTAGTTGACCATGCCCATTGGACCGTTGCCGTTGAAAGTTTTTTTAAAAAATGTATTATGGACCAATTTTCCCTCCAGAATAAAATAAAATTTTTCTGAAAGGCGAACCTCTGACCATCCGTCCCCTGGCGAGTGACCAGGCATACTAACTATTTTGAGAACGTGCCGCTTTGTCAGTTGCTTATCGAAATATCTTACTATAGGTACGCTAACAATAGGCGACGTATTTTATCCCGAAATATCCTTATGCCGAAATGGTCTGATACGCACGCCGTCGGCATTTTTGCCACGCGAAAATCGTCGGCACGAAATTCACCGCTGTTTTCAGTTTGTCCCGCGCGCATTGTTAATTAGCGTTGCCGTTTGCAAACCCTGGCACAAGAGTCATCTTCGGCTTCGCCTCAGATGCTCTTGTGGTCTATTTGATGTATATATAAAAAGTAATGTTTAATATATTGTCCAAGATTTATTTATTAGAAGTTTAGAACGCAGCATAACGAGGCGAAGAAAAATTTAAAAGAGTCTTATTATTTCCGTCTGTTTCCGTTTCTTGTGTAGGTTTGGTCAGTGGAAAGTGGGACCCTTTGTGTGATTCTGTGCACTTGGCACCTCAAGCACTGAGCAGTGAGCAGGGGTATCGGTTCCGTTCTCACATAGTCTTAATTTCTGGGAACAGTTCACACCAGTTCCCGTACCTTCCGTTCGTTCTGCTGACCTGATCAGTAGTCTCTTACTGCACACACACAAGGAGCAAACATTCCAGGGGTAGTTTTGGTGGTCGTGCTTCATGGTCATACACTCACTTGTCCCTTGTCAGCAATTTTGCGCATATGCACCGAGAATTTTTGATTACAGTAATTTGATCAGACAGTCGCAGTTTTCCACTCGCTTCCATCGAGCAGACGATGCGTTTTCGTCTTCTGCTCATGTACGAAAGTGTGCCGAAAATTTTAAAATGTGCCGAAAACTTTAAAATTCTTAAAAAGAATTGAGGGGTACAAAAGTCTCATTATACTCTGTAGATCCAATCCAAACGATCCGATCGATCTTTTCCAAATTTTGCAAGCAAACGTATAATTAACTATGAGTAGCAAGCAGACCTGGGCAGTTATAACTTAACTCTATAACTTAACGCGAGTTATTTGCGAGTTATCGAGTTTTAACGTAACTCTGTAGCGTAACTCGCTATCCAGAAAACGTAACTCTAACGTAACTCGCCCGAAATTTGTATACATTGTCTATGGTAGCGTAACTCGCGGTATAACTCGAAACTCGGTTTTACTCGCATAAATAGCGCAACTCGTAGCTTAACTCGCACGCTACCTGTAACTCGTAACTCTAACGGTGGTTGCATTTTCCATAACTGCCCAGGTCTGGTAGCAAGTAGTACGTAAATGCAGGTCGTTTTCACCGAATTAGAACGATTTCCACTATTTTGCTTTCAAAATATACCTTTGTAAATTTATACGATTTAAAATTTACGATGTAATTATGCATAAGAACGCGCGGAAGCAAAAGTTCCCATGCGGTAAGCACACTAAAGCCGGCCCCGGCTATGAATGTCACCGGCAGACATCTCTTTAATTTACAAAGGCTTCCGGTGTGATACAACTTCACGAAATTTGCACTTTTCGGTCCTGAAATCTATTTTTAAAAAATTTAATTTTTGTTACTTACTACACTACTCAGTCTACTGTGTATTGGAATATTAATTGCTCCACGCAACAATATTTTAGAAAGTCTTTCAAGGTCACCTTGAACTCGTGTCTGTACCGGTACCGGCATCCGAACGATGGTCTCAGGGAAGATATTCTTTGGAAAAAAAATCCATGTGGGACACTTTTCGAACATGCTGAGTTTAATCGTGAAATCGGTTTTTTAATTTGCTTAGCGGTTTTTTCTAGCCCCGTTCCACGGGGCGGCCGATCATAATATAGATCTATATATTTCCTTGATAATTGAATGTATTTCCATGGCAACGACCATTGAACAACCATCGAGCTTACTGACATAATCAATTAAAAATTGTAAGTTCTTACTGGTGCAGATGCGGCAATGAGGATAATGAGGACAATGAGGATAACTGTGTTTTCCGGAAGCTCTTCTTCTGC